TATATATATATTATTTTGCACATACACACAATTTGGTACATATACGTGTAAAATTATATTATTGGCAATAATAATATATTACAGTTATATAATTAAGTTACTCGATGAATTATTATGGTTTATTACGTGGAGTATACGTTATTAATTCTTAATTAAGTGTTTCTCTCCGGTTGTTTGTGTTATAAAAATGCACTACGAGAACCTTGACGTGTATGTTGCGATCATATAATGTCCATAGATGTTACACGTTTCGCAATGCATAATTTCATACAGGCTACTCTAATTACGATTGGTTTATAATACATATTAGGCTCGTACACCCGCAATAAAAAAGCATTCTAGCAGTACTCGCTAGGCCTTTGTATTGTTCGTAACATCTTTGCTAGCTTTAAAAAAATCGCGTGAGAGACTCGAATGAAAAGGAACTGTAAGATAATACCGCATTTTTTTAAATTTGATTAATACAATACTATTGAGTAATTCGTTAAATTCGTGTACATGTTAACTCGTGTGTACATAATATTAAATGTTATATTTATATATCAATAATTTAAAAAATGAAGGATTTAAAAGTACAAAAAATCTACATTTCTAAAATATTGTATAACATTTGTAAAATTTTTATTATATATATATATATATATATATATATATATGCTGTACAAAAATAATAATGTGTAATATTTAAAAGTCAAATAAAATAACTCTAATCAACATCATTTCTTATATTAGAAAATAAAACGTTTGTTACAGTCAAGTTTCAACAATGTCAATGATAAAATCCATTACATTGGAAGAAGAAATGAAGAAGAACCCTCAATTGAAACTATCAGATATACAATCATTGAAGGAATGGTGCGAAAAGCAACCGCATTTACCGAAAATTGAAGACAGCTTCCTTGCGATGTTCCTTCACAGCAACTATTATCGAATGCAACCGACAAAGAACACGATTGAGAATTATTACACGACTAGAACGCATGTACCAGAATTTTTTTCCAATCGGGATCCGCTTGGGGGAAAAGAATTGCGACAAGCCTTTAAAATCGCGTGAGCATATCATTTTTAATATTAGTAGTATAAAACTTGTTCCATGTATGTGTGTATACAGCAGCAATTTTAAATATTTTAAACAAATATGTGATACATATTTCTTTGAAAATCCTCACATGCACTTAAAAAAATAAAATATATTATACAAATTGTATGTGTAAATTGTGTGTGTAAATTTAAGAAAAAATTAAGATTATAGTCTTTTTTATATATAATCAATACTTTACTAATATATCTGATATATATTAATGTATATTATATTAATAAATTAAATTAAAATATGAATTTTTTGGCTTAAAAAGGGCTAACCTTCCTCTAAAAGGAATAACAAAGGACGGTTATAGGATCATGTACGGTGCATTTCTAGATGTCGATCCTTCTCGTTTCGTCTACAATGACAATATTAAATATTTTCTGATGGTGTGCGATGTGTGGTTTCTGATGGAAGGTACGAATAACGGTTACATTTATTTCGCTGATGCTAGCGGACTGTCCTTCGGTCATATCGCACGAATCAGCCCACTAGGACTCAAAAAATATTTATATTACATACAAGAGGCAGCACCAATACGTCTGATGGGAATCCATTTCATAAATGCGCCACCAGCTATGGAATTGCTAATGAATATGATGAAACCATTTATGAAAAAGGAGATGATAGATATGGTAAATATCGCTAAAATCAAAATCCATATTAATCAGCTGTAGTTGTTTGCCGAGAAATAATTACGTAATAGCAGTAACCGCATTTTCAACTAGTTCGTTCGCAAGTAGCGCTGATATAATTGCATTTATATCGCAAATAATTTCTTTGAAAATTATATTTATTTCTCTAAAGAGTTGAGCGCACACAAACCTAACATTATGCAAAATATAGATTTTTGATATTATAGATAAAGAAATAAAGTAAATAAGTAAATAAAAGAATATATATACATATATGGGTGTGGATGTGTGTGTGTGTGTGTGTGTGTGTGTGTGTGTGTTTGTGTTTGTTTGTTTGTGTGTGCAAACTGTCCGTAATGTCCGTAATTTATTGGAGGAGGGGCTGGGGGAGGGGGGGGGGATAACGCGACAAAATTTAAACTCACATAAAATACACTAATTTCAATCTTTCTACTTTACACTCGCGGGAAAGCTTTTTCTCAATTAACAAATCTCTTTTAGATACATTTTCATTCATCGTTAAAGAGCGCTTCCGAATACGTTCCGATAGACTCGTTACCGAACGAGGTAGGTGGGAAAGCTGATTCTATGTACAAACTGGCCGAAATTGAAGTGAAAAAGCTCGAGGACCATCGCAAATGGTTTTTAATGGATGAGGCGACTGGTCGTGTAAACGAAGCATTAAGGATCGGTAAGAGTAAGTCAGCAAGCGATCTGTTCGGCATAGAGGGTAGCTTTAAGAAGCTCGATATAGACTAATAAAAATATTATATATGTCCCCTATGAATTTTTATTGCGCTCTTATATAATATTTTTAGAAAATATTATAATACAACTCTATTTATGCAAAATATTTTACATTTTGCAATATAATGTTGTACGTCACATGCACTTTATGTCCGAAATAAAAAAAAAAACCTGTTATGCAAATTTGTCGTTTTATCTGTACAATTCATGAGTAATTTCTATACCGATTATATAGAATGCCCTACAAAATCAACATCTTACTTTAACGGAATCTTAATATCAATTTTAATTACAAAGATATAGCATTATCAAGATTTTAAAAAAATCTCATTGTCAGTGAAAAAAATGATAATTTTTTTGTACTTTTGCTAAAGAAATAAAATTGAGCGAGGAACAATCTACAAAAAAACATATAATCAGAGGTTTTGCGACGCTCTGTATATCAGTGCTGTTTAAATTACATGAGTCGTCACGCAAACGAGCAGGAGACGAACTAAAGAGAGAAAAATACATGCGATCGCACGCTTGCCAGCGATTCTGCTATGCGTAATGTACAAATCAAGGTAAACGAGATAAAGCAGGTTTTTTTTATATTACGCTATATAAGAAATCAAACAGTTTATCCTCGTGCTGTTTATTATGCGTATTGTTACGATAAATATACCTATATATTCTTATTAAAACATAAATTAATCATGAGCAGGCTACGACGAGTCGTAAGGTATCACAGTTGAATTTCTCGGAGATGTGTTAAAGCAAACAGATAACGTATAAAGTAAGGAAAAGAGAAGGGAGATCGGTAAAAAATTACCGATCTGAATTTATCATGCGGCACATATTATAATCCTGAAGTGAAAGTGAAATAACAAACAAATGTACATACACTCTATAAACTCTAAACTATACTATACGCATTCTTGTTTTCTCAAAAAACAAAGAGTCACACATGAAAATTCCTAATAATTTAATAATTTGTTAGTTTATTTTTAACAAGATTGAATATTGAAAATTTAGATTTTCAAATAACCATTGTATACTATAATATAAGTATATATCTAACTAAAATGAGAATCGATACTATCGATATTAATGGATTCTAGTAGAGTGAGAAAAAATCTATAGGAAATACAAATCTTATTTAGCAATGTCCTCGATAAAGTACATCATCCTGGAAAAAGAGATAAAGAAAAATCTCAAGCTGAGAATGTCAGATATACAGATTCTAAGAGAGTAGTACGAGAAGCAACCTCATTTGCCGAAAATTCAGGATGTCTAGTTTGTTATATTTCTGCACAACAATTATTATCAGATAAAGCCGATGAAAGATACAATTGATAATTATTTCACTATTAGGACACATGTGCCGGAATTTTTTTCCAACAAGGATCTACTTATTGTTAGAGCAAAAGAATTACGAAAGGCCTTTCAAACAGTGTAAGCATAAATCTTGTTTTCCGATATCGATAGTTAAAGAAAATAGATGATCTATTTATATAAATTATTATTCATATAAATATAAACTTGTTTTTTATATAAGTAATTTATAATATAAAATTATATAATCTTTTCTCGAATTAATGATATAAAAATAGAAGTCTATCTTGTGCCTGAAAATAATTTGTATTATAAATCAAGAATTGGAACAAGTTGTAATTTTGACGAGTTGGAAAATTAAGTGTAAATATCTTTAAAAAGTAAAAATAACCCCTCTCTTCTGTCGCTTTCCGTCAAAAATATTTATAATTTCATTATCCATAACAATATATTTATAATTATATTACCCGATTACGAGCATTCAAATTTAATACAATGTTACGATAATACAGTCTAGTAATTGAATCCAAATGCAATTATATATAGTGTAATACCTATGTTTGTGTTAAAACAAAAAGGCGCATCTTTATTTAGAGAGAGAAACGAAGGAGAATTATAACATCATCATGGGACGATTTTTCAATTTTGAACCGTCACATTACGACTTCAATAATAATGCAATAAAGTTTGTCGTCATATTATGCGACGAGTTGATTTGGATCCATGGTTCGAGTCCCGGATTTATCTTTATTATCGATGCCACTGGCGTATCGCTTGAGCACATGGCACGTATAAATCCAATGTCAGTATAAAGAAAGCTATATATTACATGCTTTACCGGTGCGTCTAAAGGCGAAACGTCGCCAGTTGTCAAATTAATGTACAATATGTTTAAACCTTTCATTAAGGCAGAACTGATATATTTGGTAAGATTTTACTCGACAAATTTTTAATTAATTTTCTTTTGCCTAACACATTAGTAGTCATGGATTCTTTAGTAAGTAAAGTTTTTGGAAGACGAAAGAATCAATCGAGTGAACGAGTCATGGCGGATCGGCAAGAGCAAAACTTCCAACGATTTGTTCGGCGTAAATGGTAGGGTAGAGCGGGGTCAAAAGTAACACGGGGCAAAAGTAACAACTCAAATATCTATAGATATATAGTAGATATATACGCGTGCGTTGGTCAGTTCATGAAGCTAGACAACCTACAACATGTCTCAATACGTATGCGGCCTCGGTACTGAGTGAACGTGTACAGTGACGAAAATATATTTTCGAGGTCATAAAGTATCTTTTTCCGAGCGTGCTAAATTTTGAATATAAATATTTCTACCGCAAGTAAGCACTTTTTTTTTATTTATATTTAGATTTAGTTATTTTTGTATATTATAATAATTGTTGCATATCCATTTTTGATATTTTATCATTAAAAATTTTAAATCAAAGTTGACAAACATAGTCGGGGACGATTGTAACATCATTGTCTGGGGTCGAATGTAACGTTACAACCGACTCCGACTGATGCAATTTATTTCATTTTGGATTATAAGTAAACTATTTTTATTTCAGAATGCCTCGTACTAAGATTAGAAAGACTGACAGGATATAATTTATATAATATATAAATGACTTATATATTTGTCATAACTGTGATGCAGAGTAATCTCTATTTGTATTAATAGTTCTTAATGATACTGTGTTCCTATTACTCTAATTGAAAAATTATTATTTAGAAATAAGAGCAAAAAAATGTTTATATCTTGTTATAATTTGAGTTAACAAAGTTAATGTTTTCTATGATTAATATAAAAAAGTTAAATTTTAAAAGAATAAGTTTTTATTTTGCTATTTTTTTGTGTAAGAATATGAATATTTTAGTTTATTTCTGCTAATATCAAAAAAGCTGAATTTTAAAAGAATAAATCTTTATTTTGCTACTTTTTTATATAAGAATATGAATATTTTAGTTTAATTCTGCTAATATAAGAAGAATTATTATAATTTCGTTGAATAAAAACTTTTAATTTTGATTATTTAAAATTGTTACAATTGACCCCTAATAGTGTTACAACCGGCCCGGAGTCTGGGGCGATTGTAACATTTTTCCTTGCTTTCATTTTTGATTGATAATTTTAATGTTATTCATCACAAGGCTTAAATGTTATGATTTCCATAAAGTCAAATAAGTATGCTAACTTGGGGTACCAAAATTTTTTTTTTTACTGTAATAGTTTTTTTACAATAAAATTCTAAAGTCAAATTGTTACTTTTGACCCCGCTCTACCCTAATTTTAAAAACTGGAAATAGACTGACTGAGACTACACGTCACCCTTAATCGGATAAATTCTATTAAATATGACGTGCAAATGTAATCTGAGACGAAAAATAATTTTGCGATACACGAGTATGGATTGTGCTCTTCATTATTATTGAATTAAAGAGATGTTTTTCCGGAAAAAAAAACACTTAGAATTTAACAAATAAAAAATTGTTGTAATAAATAAAAAATAATTATTACGCCTTTTTCACTAAAATTTGGCCATCATATTCTACAAAACACTATTCAACGATACCTGGTAACGTTAGATGCAATAATATATATCTAATAATATAAACTACAAACTAGACTTTCTCCTCTATCGCTGTAGTTTGCTAAAGATGTGATCGTCTCCATCAAATCGTGTCGACTAATCGCTAAATATGTCATGAAGTCGTGAATTGACAATACATGGTGATGCAATTTTTCTTACATTCGTTTTAATACTTGTTTATCAACGTATGATAATGCAATCTTTAGCATGCCAATGACAAACACTATTTTTACACCATTTTCTTACTTGTGTATTTCTTATTGTCAATGTCATTCTAATAGATTTGCTACGTTTCACTTTTGTGAGAAACACGCTTCTAAAAATATAGAGTCATGCACACGTAATGAAAAATGCTAGATGATGATTATTGCGTGTAAAGTTTTGCGCGTGTATATGTGTATGTGTACAAGTAGTAGTATCCATATAATGAATTATTAACATTATTACGACAGTAGCGTTTAAATTATTGCGATAAGTATCGCACACACGATTTTTAGATCGCATGTTTCTCGTTTTTGCTGAGTGGCAAAACTACTTCGACATTACTTCGACGTACTTCGATGTCTAATGCAAATGAATTTTCAACGTATATTCCCCTATTATTAATCGCGAAAATGGCATGTTACATGTATTGAAACGTACTCATTGTCAGCTGTCACGCTATACACTCTGTTGCCGTTTCGGTTCCGGTGCGGCTTAAAAGGTCTATATCTCAATACAAATTTCAATCAGTACTTTTCAAGTTACCGAGCGGAATCCTTTCATCTGTTTAGTCTCCACGCACACATATTCGAGGTGAAATTAATTTATTTGGTCGCGCAATATTCGCTGGTAAATTTTGAATAAATTAGTGAGCTACGTCTATATAATTTATGTCTATATAATCTAACATAATGTGTACTTACAATTAGTATGTCTATAATATATATACAGTCAATACAATAAATCGTCATGCAATTTTCCGTTGTTCAAAATCTTCTAGAGAAAAGATGTGTGATTAATTTCGCCACATATATTAACAGACACATAAACAAAAAGATGTTCGAAAAACGAGTTTTGATGAAACGAGTTTTGAGAAATTCTTTCAAGTACGTTAATTTTATTTCTCTAGAGAAAGAAATCGGCAGTCTGAACCATGGCTTCGATAGATTTAGTGCCGTTCGAAGAGGAGCTAAAAAGAAATCCTGAATTAAAAGAAACGGATATACAAATGTTGAGAGAATGGTGCGAGAAACAACCTCACTTGCCAAAGATATCAAACAGCGAACTAGCATTGTTCCTACACAACAATTATTACCGACTTGAGCCGACCAAGACTACTATCGATACCTTCTTCACAGTTAGGACTCATGTACCAGAGTTCTTTTTCAATCGGGATTTGACAAACAATAAAGAACTCAAAAAAACCAAGCAAATTGTGTAAGTACGTATATGTATACATATATGTGTATACATATTATTTCGACTTATATTTATATTACATATATACACAAATATGATAAATGTTTCTCGTATAAAGAGAAATTTCGCGTATAGAGTAAAGATGGCCTTTATAAATTATCAACAGAACACAACAGATTTTGGAAGGAACTACTAAAGACGGCTACAAAATCATATACGGAAGATTGCTGGATAGCGAGCCATCGCACTTTGTTTATAACGACGTGATGAAATTGCTAAATATGGTAATAGATTTGTGGCTCTATACGCAGGGTACCTGTAACGGCCACGTAATATTATTCGACATGAAAAACATTTCTTTCGGCCACGTTGGCCGTTTGAGTCCCATGGGACTCAAGAAATTCCTTTACTATTTACAAGAGGGTTTGCCCGTTAGGCTGAAGGGTTTCCACTTTATGAATGCTTCTCCGGTAATCGATGTCATTCTGAATATGATGAGACCCTTTATGAAGAAACAACTGATGGATATGGTAAGATTGTAATTAAATTATATATGTATACAGCGTTCGTCGAGAGATCCAAAATTGCATATTTAAAAGAAGCAAGAAATAAAAATTAATCTTTTATATATTTGATATACATAAATCCTTTTAGAGAAAATATGAGTTTTTAAAAATATAATATTTTACATGACTAAAAAAACATATCACCGCAATATACAGTGGCGTGCAAAAGTTTCCGGCCTGTGACATTTCGTACTCTAATTTATTAAAAAAAACCTAATGACTTTTTAACCATTATCAGGTGCGAGTATAACATATAGGAAACAAAATAATATAGTGAAAGAATATTGTTTATGTTTGTGAAAGTATTTATAGTTATAATTGTTATATTTACAAAATGTCACTGGCCGAAAATTTTTGCACGCCACTGTATCTCAAAACGAAATATTTTCAGCAAAAAAATTTCTCATTTTTCATTATATTATTTTCTGAAAGGATAAAATATTACTGCTAGCCATTTAACTAATAACCTGACATTATTCGTACTTCAAAGAAGACCGAATACAAAAGAGTATAAAGTAATGTGTAAAAAAACCAAAGATAAAACTATACATACCATCTAAAAAATATACATGCTCTCTAAAATATATATGCTACGGGCGTAAATTCTAACAAGTGCACATTCATTATTCGCCATATATCTTTTTACTGCTTTTGTGCTCGAAATAATCCTAATAGGAACATAAAACGGCATGGCCACTATACATATATAATATGTACCAGCTACATTAAGCCAAACGATTCGCGGAGCACTAGTGAGAAATATCTCACGATACGATAGGATGCATTAAAGCTTATTCAATTCGTGCACTGGCAATCGCCAGATATCTTGATGCAACTCGAGAACTGATCGAATAGCGTGCGATCGAGCGATATGCGAAGATTATCGCGGAAGGTAATCGAATTACATGAGAAAATCCCGCTCAGTATTAATCTGCTATTTTTATATGATGCGTCGCCTCTCGCAATCCCTGATGTATCCACCGTGCTTACATCTTCGTGTCTCCGTCTTTAAGCTTATGATTTATGCGCGTATTTTGCTACGGGACATTTTCCGAGCATGTTCTCATTTCCATACTTTACACCGTTCCTCGCGCTAAAATCGAATTTATGCACAAATTACAATCGCGGATTGTTAATCATTAAGAAGCTGAAAGTTCGTATGACGGTATACCAGGTCGTCGCGCGTGTTTCAGAGAGAAACGCGCGTATCATCGGACTAAGAGATCGCATCAAATGAGATGTTCTACTTAATAGAGTTTGTCGTCAGGCTTTTCCCGAAGAAACATCTTTGCCCGTTTATTATGCAGAAACTGCATTGCATTGAAATGTCCCAAACGGCATCGTTAATTAAAGAAGTAGAACTTAGAACCACATATAGAAGTTACAAGCGCCTTTAAGTAGATAAATTATTGAGAAGAGTTTCACGTATGATCGTGCGGTAAAAGGCGATCGCATACATATAACGTTTTAATTAAAATATAAATATCAAGTGCTATCAGAGAAGGGTATGATGTAATTAAATCACGAAACTTGATTACCTTGATTAATCATAAAAATAAACTGTGTAGATAGAATTTTTCTATTGATTGCTACTTTCAAACAAGATAAGTAAGATTGATCATTCTTTTCACAATTATATCAAAAAAATTTTTACATCAAATAAAGGATCTTAAGACATGCTTTTCTTATACATGTATTGAAAGTACTTGTTTTTTGTGTTTAGTTCAATATATCTTGTTGCAATATAAAATAGACATATTATATAATTGTACAATTATATTTTCACATAACTAACTCTGCATGATTAATGATAAATTGATCTCGTTTGAAATGGTCGTGCATCTTTTCACATAATGCATGACATTTTAATAAAACGCGAGACGTCTCGATTTTTATATCGTGATTCTTATATCGTGACGAACGAATAAATAGTGTACAAAATGCACGAGACATTAGCACATAATCAACTATATCGTTTAAATGTAATCAGCATAATACAGCCAACTTGATCTAAACAAAATAATATAAACATTAATCAGAAATGAGCAATAATTTCTATTTCTATTTATACATGCTGAAAACTTGCATCCTCTTCTTCTTTATTCAGTTTTATTACAAAAAAAAATAAAATAAAATTAGTAAACTAATAACGAAATCAGTATAATGCCAGAAAATAGAGAATTATCGTAAAAATAAATTGACAATTGTAGTTGCTGTTAATATCCTGGTTAATATATATTATATAATACAAAAATATTTGCTTAAGCGACAGAGAGAGAGAGAGAGATTTGTCTTTATTTTTCTTTATGATAATATAAAAATTTAAATGTTTTTATTTATTTATTTATAAATTTCACTTCGTTTACATTTTATGCGTCAAATTTGAATGTATAAAAGTTATATCGTGGTGTGGAAAGACCTTTACGCGATACCTCTTTTTCGACAGGGTTTCTTATAATACTTTCACCATCAAGCTAGCCTCGCAGTAAACGGCAACACGCGCATGTGAACATATCGATCCAGATAAACAATTTAAACTTTGTCCCATAATGAAACACATAATTGTAAGTATGCACAAAAATTTACGATTTATTAATAATATAAATATTTCGAACAAATCTCTGCGCCCCCCATTTAATGCGCAGATATTTTTCTTGCAATTTCTTTTGCACATAAAAAACTTTTTTTGTATACTTCATCGTACGGTAATAATATTATTACGGCAATAATATAATATTTCTGAATAAGAGAGAAATTATTTAAAATAAAGTAAGAAAATATAAAAAAAAACATTATCCGAATAAATATTGTCCCATGTGAAAAGATCCTTCAAAACATACAGCGATTTTCATGATGAAATAACCGGTTGATTTCACAATTCACTCATCTGGAATTTTAATGATACGTACATTTAGTTATACGCTACGTTGTTGCGTTTCTTGCAACGTTTGTAATGAATAATATTAGACATATCATTCGTTTCCCGCTATAATAAATTATCAAAATTTTTGTCGCTCTGTTGCTTGATCAGAAAAAGTATTATATAAAAAGTATTTTATATATATCTAGAATCTAAAATTTACCAAAAAAATTTTAAGAATAGACTTTTTGAAAATTATTTTTATCAAAATTAATAGATTTAGAAAGATATTGATATTACACATATAAATATAATTTTTGCTTTTAATTTAATCTTAAACTTTGATGCACGTCTACGAAATTTACATTATTAGGATCTGCATTAAAGCATTATTACTATATTATACATTAAATTTTGTAGATAGCCGCCGCCGCCGCCGCCGCTGCCTTGGTTAACGTTTGTTTGGCGGGTGTATTACATACTCTACCGGAATACCGGACAACGATAACACCGCCATCACCAAAGCCATACAGCTTCCAATATGAAGCAGGACGATACCCGGGACACGTTGATCGCGTTCATCAAGAAATCGGAGATGGAGATGGAATTATTCACGGTAACCGCAGTTCATACTTCATACATGTATACCGTATGTATTCGTTGATTAAAGCGCGTGTTAAACGCCGAGGACGAGATATAGATATCTACATATTTCTTTCTAAATACCTAAATCTGTCTCAATCATTTCTCATTATTTTGCTAATACTATATACTACCCCCATACTGATGTACACACGTTACATTATATCACGATTCTCTATCGATCACGAACCTATTTGTTTTTAATCTAAGAACAAACTAAAAGACGCAGCTCGCCACTTATGCAAATTAAAACTCATATTAAAATAAAACAGGTATATTGTAAAAATCCATCTTCTTACATCTTATGTTTCTCTCAGTTTTCTTTTTCTTTTTCTACGATTCCTATTCCTTTTCAAAAAATTGTAACACGCAGGAAATTAATTCTAACGTAAATTAATGATTGATTGAACGCGCGATGATTGAATAATGGACGGGAGAAATCTTTAATGATGCAATAATTAGAAAAAAAGATTGTAGTAATAATTTCTGCAGTCACGACATTTTAATAAATACGCATATATTTTTCAGGAACATATTCGTATGTCGATCCAAAATACAAAGTACGAACAGTCGAGTACAAGGCTGATAAAAACGGATTTCATCCTGCTTTGATCAACTTTGATGACATTTTTGCTCAACCCGCCGATTCGGAAGCTGTAAGATTAGCCAAGGAGAAACATATGCGTCTTTACCAAAAGATCGCGGAAGCAAACGCTCATAATGTTCCAATAAACTTGCCACAGGTAATTGTTTTATACATCCATTGATATATAATCCGTCAAAGACAAAAAAATTGAAGAATTTATTTTCAAATCATAAACAAACTTTACAATTATATACTTTATAATTATTGACTTAAAAAAAAAAGAAAAGGCAATTCTATATAGCCTATCTTTATTTTTGACTCTTTGATTTTCCACTTTCATCTAATACATCGACGATTGTTTCGTTTAAAATTGTAACAACAATTACAGACTCTTTCCGTATTGTAATCAGTGTCAGTTTTCTAAAACTGATGAGATGAGAAAAATAAAGAAGCAATTTAATTATTTTTGCGCTGATGATGGCCAAAAAAAAAGGCCGAAACGTCCGCCTTTCGCGAATCATGTAATTAAACCTTTTTCTTATGAACATGGGTCCGCAAATGAACCCCCCTCCGAGCTAAAATTCGAAAATGTGTGAAATACGTTTTCATTTCAGTGGCTTACTTTACTTCATAATTTACTGGGCTATACCAAATTTCAATCTTCTGCCATTTTTTTTCTGAAATACAGCCAATTTTTAATTTTTTCCCCAAACTTTAGGGGCCTCTAGCTCGGAGGAGGGTTCATTTGCGGACCCATGTTCATAAGAAAAAGGAGTCTTATTTTGACCTCTAGAATACGCTCCTAAAGTTTAGTGCATCATTTCAGATACACCCCGTATCCATTTTACTCGGATTTTACTTGATTTTAATCGTGTAAGAGCCTTACTTTTATATCTTTTTAATTATTTTTTGTGCCTGAAAAATACGTTCGCGTTTTTTAAGAATTTAAATACCTGTATGAAGAATGGTTTAAGGTTTAAGTAAATTGCTGGCGCAGTTTTGCGTTTTCTTTTTTGTGTATTATTTCTGTTTTTCTTTCTTTTCCGTTGGTTGACTTACTTAATTGCTCGGCAGGATTCAGACAGCGTGGCAAAAGCGAAAAACAAGCATAATGAATTGTACCACAGAATCGCGGAACAACACGCAGCCATCGCCGCGCAAAGGGAAGCTGAACGACTGGCTTACGAGGCAACTTCCGTTGCCAATGGCGTAGAATGACGTAGATAATCATCGGAGATGTTAAAAACGTGTTGTGCACATGTTGACATCATGACTGACGTGCGTGCCGTATACTTTAATAACAAGAAATATATTGCGCGTCGTCTCGGAAATGCGTATTAATGCTCATAAATATACTCATTCATGTAATAACCGTTGTCATGTAATAACTCATTATGGTTTTTTTAAGCTGATTCGAGCAATGGAGAAATGTTTTTGCTCGACTTATGAATAAACATTTTTAATCTTTGCTAACCTATAGCAAAATAATGTGTGCTTGTTGTTGGCTTTAAGACTCTATAGTCACAATCCTAACGTATTCGGATAATAATACTTTAGAGACATAGAAAGAGAAACAATATGAAACAAATATACTATAGTAAAATGATCGTCGTAATTATAGATAAATTTATAGAAGCATGACAGATACAACCTAATACAAGAGAAATAAGGCTATTAGTTACTGTAATAAAATAAAAATCTTAATAATAACCGTAGAATAAAAAGGAATTGAGTTTTTATACAAATTCCTATATTTTTATTCTCTGAGACAGAAATTTGCAGCAGAAGTAAAGAAGCAGATAAATATATCATTTTTTTACCAACTATTCTTATAAATTTCATCTGCTTTTATACAAAATATGATTTATACATGAGTGCTTCTTCATATAAATTAATAAATAGGTTAATAAATGGGAATCAACGGTTATTACATGAATTATTTTTGGATATTATAACATTATGATTATTGCGTTAGTTATTGCAATTATTACAAGTATTATATATTACTTTTATTGTCTCCTAAATTCCAATATATAACAAAAATAAATAATGCACTGCACGCGCTAATAATTGTTATATTTGTTGTATTTTTTCTTTCGGCATGCAATTTATTCATATGTAGCAGTCTGTTTATATAATTACGAGCGGGCAGTAATGCGAACAAAGTGTTAAAACTCGTTGTTTCTAAGTGCCGGAAGTGCTATCGCGCAAACAAAAAATTTTCGATGAAAGATACACAACACACACAATCATATTGTAATGATATAAAAACGACTATGCGACATCGTGCACGATATTAGTTCGAACGAGTATTCTGATGAAAGATGAAGTGCTTCTTGAGCAAACTATTCTGTTTTTTTTTGCTGTGCATCGTGGTAAGAAAAATGTCATAGAATTCAAGAGTATAAATAAGTGCAAAACTCACATTTCGTACTTTTCTAAAATTCTGATACAGTTAAATTTCTTACACGTAGTAACCTTTGAATAAATTGCTCATAATTTAAATTTATTTCCTCTATGCACAACAATAAATTATTGTTTAGATCGTTTCTGATAAAAGAAAAAAATTTTTGTTAATAAAAATAATGAAAAATTGAATAGAGAGATGAATGAATTTCGAGAATGTAAGGGTTTTCTATATCCTTCAATTCATCTTTCAGTTTATGTTAAATTGTATATATACATATAATATATTCTTATACTACTTACCTTTCCTCCTAGGCGACGATGTGCATGAGCGTCGGAAATCCAATTTCTGCAATTATAGGAACGCGTAAAATAGCTTGTAGAGGGAGGGGTACAACTACTACTACTACAGCTGCCACCTCTTAAAATGTGTAAATCTGCATTAATGGAGGTAAAATAAAATTAAGCTCTCTAATAATAACATTTGTTACAATCTAAGCGGATTAATTTACACGCGAGCGCTCTCTCTCTCACTCCTCCTTTTTTCCTTTCTCCGCGTCTCTCTCTCTCTGTCTGCTTATGCTTTATTTCTACAGACTTCAAGTCGAGCAGTGCCGTGAAATAAATTTTTCGTAAAAAATGATTTTACGCGCTAAATGAAACCAGATTTACTTTACGTGTTTGGTTTGTGCTCAACAATTCAACGTCACTCGTACCAATTTTTTTAAACTTATTAAAAGGATTATTAAGCATTCCCATTTTATAATTTTTGATCAAAAAAAGAAAAAACATTTTTTTTAATTTAGTTTTCTATTAATGCACAAGCATATTTTTTGTGTTGATTTAAACGTTTATCAAAATCAAACTTGCGTGCAAAATTATCTGAATCATCTCCGCGCCATATTAACGTTTCCGATTCTGAAGGTTTCTTTTCATACAGACATTCGACCATAGACATATTCATGTCTATGTTTATGCACTCGACGCACACTTCAACGTCAAAAGACGTCACGTGATTAAAAATAAAGATACTAAGGCCGGTATTCATAGTCCGTTCTTATATCCAAGATCGTCTTAAGTGTGGTCTTGGGTCGTCTTAAGATCCCATTCAACCAATGAAATGGCCGCATAGTATCTTAAGATCGTACTTAAGACGATCTTGAATATAAGAACGGACTATGAATACCGGCCTAAATCGTCATTTTTGATCACGTGTCATCTTCGGCGTCAATATGAAAAGGTACCTTTAATCGCGCGCAATTTCGATTATATTGGCTACGTTCAGCAGAAAAAGCAGCTTTGTAATTGTTGTAAAATTCTTTAATATGATTGGTTATACATTTAGATCCGGCAAGAACTAAGGGCAAGAACCAATCATATTAAAGAATTTTACAACAGTTGCAAAGCTGCTTTTTCTGCTGAACGCAGCCATTCTCGATTCCTCTTTCCTATATCAGAGTTGTATGTACATATATATATACACACACCACATAATTTTTTTATACATTATGCAAGATATCTGTGTGCATGTGTGCATATACGAACATATATAGATATCATACACATAAAAAAAAAAAAAAATTAATTTGTTAAGTATTATAAACACAATATACCAATTTATATATATAATCTTTAAGTTGTAAATATAATAAAACCCAATTAATCATGTGTTTTAGGCAGAAAACGATGAAGAAAATTTATGGCAATAGATTGAAATACTTAGAAGAAATCTCAAATTATTATTTCACTCGCAGTGATTATGTTATTATTATGTCTCTCTATCGCCCACACAAATTACGTCAAAAATTACAACAAATGTTTTACATGGTTTTATATACACGAGATGAGTAAAATAAATCGTTCTATACACTTTTCTAAAGACACAAGGTATAAAAATAGATGTGAAAAAGCCCTTTACCACAACCACAAGCTTCACATTGCAATTTAAACTGCAACTATACAATAACATGAAAGTTCAACATGGCATGTGACTTGAAAATTACATTGGGCAAAAGAGAGAGAGGTAAAAGAAACAAACATTCTTAAGTTTTACTTTTACAACATTAACAAGTATTAAACATTTTGGTTTAATAAATAATAAAGAAACACAAAATTGTATGGACTTTCAATAAATAATTTTGGCAATCATGTAATATAGGTGTAATTTTACTCGTAAACATATACATTTTTCTTGCATGTATATTAATGTAATGTCGATATATTATTTTCTCCCACACACAATATTAATATCTAGATAAAAATAAGAAAAAAAAACAACATTAAAAAATTGCCAAATTATAACTATACTCAATTATCGTCTATCCTATTGCATATTATCGCGCTTTGATTCATAAATAATTCATAAACTATCTTTTATATGTATAGTGCATTTATAATATACTTCTAAACCATAAAAACCATAAAAGATTTGAATAAACATATGTCTATATGAAAAGTATTTCTAGAGATTCATGTTAGCTACATATTGAACATTTTGGATATCTTTACAAAAAGGAATGAATCATATGTAAACATTATGTAATTTATGCACAATAATATTGATACTTTATTAAAAATAAAAAATAACACTGATAATTCATAATCCTTTTCATTGTTATATAAAAATGTGAATGTGCATATATATAAAATATATAAAAATCATGTATTTTTATATTGATAACAAACGAAAACAAAATTTGGAACATAATTATTATACATGGATGTACATCATAGAAAATTTTCGTCTTAAAAAGCTACAAAATCTTGAGAAACAAAAGTTCTTCATGCATCTTATTCATTTGTATTTGTATATACATTGTATAAAGATATTGCATGTATTTTTATAATATCAACAATCATTCACAAAATGGATTCCTTCCCTATAAAGAATGATGTATTAACAATAGATCATTCTACACTATTGTATCGTTATAATTATATTGTAAAGATTGCGCAATCACTTTATGAAAAATTCTATAAAATGTTGCATAATATTATTGCACGACCGTCACACCCTAGATTCAATGGCATAAATCAACATCTCAAAGATTCATTTCACTGTATTATGTCCATATTTTGTAAAAGTATAGTTAATCGTATTCAATGATAGTTTTTCAAGCAAAAAGTTCGATGTATGACAGTTTTCTAATTTATTTCTTCAATAAATGTAACATGTCTTTATTTTGCTGTTGCAGCAGTATATCTGCTTTTTCGGTTTTATCGGTGATATTATCAATCAGATCGTTTTGCGAGTCTATTTCTTCAGATAAACCAATTGCCAGATGTTTCAGTCTCGCTAATGATCCACTCATGTCATTTAAATTTTGCTCTAAAGCTTTGGTTACTCTGTCACTGGCAGGCCTAACATCTTCAAGATTGTTGTCGCGCGCATTGTAACTTTCTTTTACTTTTGTCGATGAATACGAATTGCTAATGTTACTTTGTACTTGTTCTAATGTGTTGGACAGTGCAGGAGATGTTATGGATCCAGAACTGGAAGACTCTGATAATTTTGTCGATGGTATTGGTGTATCCAGAGATTTACCACTGAGATAGTTTTTCAGACTACCAAAGACACTCTTTATGCCCTGTATATGTTTCTGACTAAATCTTAATGTGCTATTAATGTCATCTAGTCTCTTTTCTGTTCTCTGCAATTGTTCTCTTTGCCTGATTAATTCCTGAAAACAGAATAAAATTTAAATATTATAATACATCATGTGTGTTACTGGCTATGCAAAATGCATCGTGGAAAAGTTCAAATTATTTATCTTATATTCATTGTACATTATCATATAAATGTTTATATGAGAAAGGGAAATATATTGAGCAGCTTACTTAGGCGTAATTATAAATTGTGTATATCAGCAGCTGCCGTGCTATCTACAGTGATGTGATAACACAAGCTGGTATATTATTACCTCAGCTGTAGCTACACCAATTTGCTCAGAGTCTCTCAGAAGCGAAACGGACCTTTCCGAAGACTGTATCGTGCGGTCTTCTATTTCTTTTTTACGTTGCAACAATTGTTGGCGTTTCTGCGTTATGTCATTGTCAAAATTCTGACGCCCAGCGGGGAGAGTCCTGGCTGGCGCATTTTTCAGAAATGTCTCATCGTCTACGTCGTCTTCCAACGAAAAGAATGGATTCTTCGGATCACTCAGATAATTGTGGCCCGCCATTTATTCGATTCGACTTTCTACTTTCCGCCTTCCGCCACGCACGAGATATCGTTGGCAACTTGTTAGTCGAATTTATCTTCGACGCCCGTTTATCGTTTATCTCTCTTCGCTCGACACTTGCTGATGACTACTAGCTACTAGCTGCTACTGACTACTGCATAACAATGTATGTATGTATATACATATATACATTATTGTACATACGTATCACCAGAATGCACGATCCTACGACCCCCAGAGTTCCAGAGCTCGAGACGAACAAAGTTTCGGATGCAAAAAGACTCACGCATGCGTTCGTATATTCGTAACTGTTCGCGTTTTAATGTTCAACATCCATATAACATTGGTCGCACGTGCTAATTAATTTTTCAGAATTACGATTTAATTTGGAAATTATACGCGTTATATAGGGTCCGTGAAATTAACGGAGAAAACTGACGTGGATCTTGAGACAGAGAGACAACAGTCCACATTTCATATATATTCTTTTCGTATCATATGTAAAATTCAATGCGCCAAAAGAAACACTAAAATTGACCAGCTTTATCGTATTAGAATGTGACTGATAACTTTGTAAAAAGAAAAACTTACGGAACTTTAAATATTTTTATCCATATATACAGCCAATCGGTACAAATCTGTCGAATGTGCCGGTTGGAATTCCCGATTGGTCATCATGGTATTGGCAGGTATTGGCTTCTGCACACAAGACGCAGAAACGCTTGCCGCGCGGCAAAAGGCGACGCGGTAGTCAATCAACTTACAACTTTTCCATTAGAGCGAAAAATTGATTGGCTACCGCGTCGTCTTTTGCCGCGCGGCAAGCGTTTCCGCGTCCTGTGTGCAGAAGCCTTTACGACTAAAATTTTTTCACGTGCAATGGCCTTGAAAATTACAAAAATGAATGAATTTACTAGAAAATTTACTAGATAATTTCATAGGTCCAAACCTAGTAAATTTATAATTTTATTGGTCCAAACCTAGTAAATTCGCTCGCTTTTGTAATTTTTCGCCCTCACTAGTGCTGTGTTCCGATTTCCCACCCGGGTGCACCCGATATTATAGTATATGTCACGTATACTAGAGTCCTATATAATCAGAGAAGCGACAATGGCGTTCCGCTTGCTGATTGGCTGATCGCCACGGGCCCGTTCCACTTAACGACCGCAACGCTCACGGTATCATTTCATCTTTGTTGTTCACCGAAAGTTAAACAAAGACAGATAATGCTCGCGAGCGTTGCAGTCGTTAAGTGGAACGCGCCCTATGTTGACGGTTGGTTTGCTCGTAGTGAATCATACGTGCAAACTAATCGCAACCGGCGTACCGTAAGTGAGAAAAAAGTATATTTGTCAAGCGACGCGGTAGCGTCCCGACGCCAATGCAGCACATGGAATTGTACCTTAACGTATACTATAATATCGGGTGCACCCGGGTAGGGAATCGGAACACAGCCTTGAATTACAGAATCGATACCCAAGCCAATCGTATTTCGTATCTAGATATTTGTACATCATGACTCAGAATTTGAAGAATCATATATAGATTACAGACTTCTATAGAAGGTTGTGTCCAAACGTGCGCCTCCTAATTTGAGCTATGTTCCAAAACGTACTCTTCGAGGAAAATTTTACTCCGATGGCCGTTCCGAAACTATTTTGAGCGTCTCTGATTGGTTCCAGACTGGCCATCGAGTAAAATTTTCCTCGGAGAGGAAATTTTACACCGTTTTGGAACTTAGCCTTAAATTATTTAACCAACAGTCATGATACAAAAACATCTACATCCGAAAATGCCAGTTTTTACCAATGTGACTTAAACTTTATTGTTGATTAGCTTGCAGGATACGACATCAAATTTATTATACTATATACAATAATTATATCATTGTGTGTGGAAATTTACATTCTGCCAGTTTATCAACGATTATTAAGTTTAATAGATATAGATTATATATATATATATATATATATATAAAGTGTTCGACAAGTAAGCTTAATAAATAAAGCGATATTCTTTCTCTTTCTCTCTCTTTTTGGAAAAACTACTTCTTTGTATTATTTGGAAAGTAATATATACATATAGTGTTCGATAAGTAAGCTTAATAAACAAGGCAATATTCTTTCTCTCTTTCTTTCTCTTTTTGGAAAAGCTACTTCTTTGTATTATTTGAAAAGTAATATACATATACTGTATACATATACTGTTACATATATAATGTATACATATACTGTTTAAATTAAAATTCAACTAATCGGCATCTCTCTTTTTTGTCTTACAATGCTAAAAATAAATCTTTAATCTCTTACAAAAAAAAAAATCTTTCTCAGTTAATATGATGAAATGTCACGAATAAAACTTTATTACTATAAAATGTATTACACAATTTGAGTTTGTGTTTGCTGTGCTGTATGAGAAAATAAATTTTTATCTTGTATTTGCAATATATGTAAGTTTGCCAAAAACTTTCATCATATCAAAATCATAGATATACGTACTAACATCTCTTTTTTTGTAGAGAAAAAAGAAACGTTTCTCCAATATTTATAATTATCATATAATTATCATATAATTACGTAGACTTGTATTATATTATTAATTTCACGGTTTTATTCGCGCGTTGCGCGATAATGATGGATTCTCAAGTCAAAACGAAGCGCACGTGTATGTACATACATGACGTCAGACGACGCTGCCGTGGCGTCACGAGAAACAGCCGTTTAGCGTCGCACTGATTGGCCGAGTGCGGATAGTAAAACCAATCGTCGCCGCGGTTTGTCTGCAATGGTCGCGTAAACTTTTTCCGGCCATCTTGTTATTATTTTCGAAAATCTTGAGGTTGGATTTTCGGGAAGACGCAGTAGTAGTAGCTGCGAACGCGCCTTCGACACTTTGTTTCGGGCGACTGGCGAGAGTGAGACGCGGCTCGTATGAGGTCAAGAGCACAGAGTTACGACGAAGAACGGTTTCGGTGGGTATTATCGCGCAAACTTCAATCTCTCTTGCTCCTCGCTACTGACCGTCGCAAAAGTAGCAGAGAGACAGAAAAGGAAAAGAGAGAGAGAGAGAGAGAGAGTGAGAGAGAGAGAGAGAGAGAAGAGAGTACTGTATATACGTGCGAAAGATAGAGTGGGAGAGAAGAAAGGCGAGAACGATATGGTGAGGAATGACTGCGTTGGAGTGCGTGAAACGAGGTACGAAAGTGGTCGTGCGCGGGAATCGGCAGTTGTGTATATATTTGCCGCTTTATGCTTGTGATTTTCGTCGATATACCTTAATCGTCGGTGTGAAACGTGTGCTTTTTTTAATTCCTGAACGGAGAATCGTCGTGTATGCGAGTGAATACGGTAAGTTGGCGCGTTGTTCTCGCGACTCTTTACCGACTCCGTTGCTCGACGTTGACGACGCAACGGCAACGGTCGAATACTCCCTATGCAGGGACGCCGATACGAAACGGATCTCGCGGACCTCCCGTCGTCGCAGTTTGCGTGCTCCTTATTAGACTCTAGTGTCCCAACACTACATTGTTTACTTTTCCGTGTGATCATTTATGTTCGCAACGATTCACATAACCTTGCTTCCGATTGTCAAATGTAGGTTAGATCGGACGGAACGGTGACCTCTCCTGCGGCATGTTAATAATAAAAACGATCTTTTTTTTCTTTTCTTTTCTTTTATTTTCTTTTATTCGACTTTAATTCATATTCGTCTCATATTTATCTTTATCGCGCGTGTTTGACACGCTGCAATTTATTTCAATTTATTTACGATTTAATACGGACACGTGCGACAGACTCTCTCGACTTTACATATTCTAAAATTCCCTCAAACGTTTCTAGTATACGGCGTTAACTTTTATCGCTTTAGTATCACTTAATCGCACAATGAAAACTTTTCTACATGCTAAACTTCTAGTTAAGCACAATAGGATTTATTCATTAAAAAGCAAGTCTCTTGCGTATATCAGGATTTATTACTTGTTTATTTAAATTATACATATCCAACTTTTTTCTGTACTGTTTGCACACTTTAAGATTTACGATTATAAATTGAAAATTTTAAATTTTGAATCTATAAAAATAAAAGTTACATAAATACATTATGTTACATATATATACATACATACATATATATATATATATATGTATGTATGTATGTATGTATGTATGTATGTATGTATATATATTTGTATGCCAATCTATATACAAATCATTATGTACAATCAACATGTTATGTGTAAGCATTTCATTATTAAAAATATAACATTTTCACATGTCTCTTTCTCTCTCTTTCTCTCTCTCTCTCTCTCTCTCTCTCTCTCTCTCTCTCCATTTTCCATTTAGAAAATAAAAGGTACGGAAGAATATATAATTACACGATACAATGGCAACTTTGGCTGAGCAAGCATCTAAATTATTGGACTTCAATCAGAAATTGGATATAACACTTCTCGACAATATAGTAGGATGTATGTATACTGGAATAGGTGAGCAACAAAGAGTCGCTCAAGAAGTGTTAACAACTCTCAAGGAACATCCAAATGCTTGGACACGGGTAGATACTATTTTAGAGTATTCGCAGGTAAATGTTGGTCATATTTCTCATCGTTGGTTGCGCATATATGTATTTGCAAATAGTTCTATCATCGCGCTTTTGTGCAGAATCAACAAACAAAATATTACGGCTTGCAAATATTGGAGCAAGTTATAAAGACACGATGGAAAGTACTACCGAGAAATCAATGCGAAGGTATAAAAAAGTATATCGTAGGCCTTATCATAAAGACAAGCAGTGATCCCGAGACGATGGAAGCTTCCAAAGTTTACCTTAACAAACTCAATATGATCCTTGTGCAAGTGAGTAGCTAAAATTCATTTATATTTTGCACAAGAGATATCGACAATTATCATTGTTTCTTCATTAGGTGTTAAAACGTGAGTGGCCGAAAAATTGGGAATCCTTTATCAGTGATATTGTTGGCGCGAGTAAAACTAACGAGAGTCTTTGTCAAAACAACATGGCTATTTTGAAACTTTTGTCAGAGGAAGTATTTGACTTTTCTAGCGGCCAAATGACTCAGACAAAAGCAAAACATTTAAAGGATACAATGTGCAGTGAATTTTCACAGATATTCCAGCTTTGCCAATTTGTCATGGATAATTCGCAAAATGTTCCATTAGTAGCAGTCACGTTAGAGACGCTACTAAGGTTTTTGAATTGGATACCTCTTGGATATATTTTTGAAACTAAATTGATAACTACTTTAATATTCAAGGTAAAAAGCTTATATATTTCTCTTTTCTTCCCTTTATTTATGTGAGATATAAACCATGCGCTTCTATATATATCCTATATTATTTAAAATAGTACTTTATTTCTAATATATATTTGCAGTTTTTGAATGTACCAATATTTCGAAATGTTACTCTAAAGTGTCTAACAGAAATCGCGGCCGTTGTCGCTACTGTGCCGAATTATGATGACATGTTTGTTATATTATTTATCAATACGATGCAGCAATTGGAATTAATGCTCCCACTGGAAACTAACATACGCGAAGCATACGCAGCTGGCCAAGACCAAGAGCAAAATTTTATCCAAAATCTAGCTATGTTTCTTTGCACTTATCTCAAAGATCATGGCGAGCTAATAGAGAAGAAGCAATTGAACGAAACGCTAGTGAAGGCATTGCATTACCTCGTTCTTATATCTGAAGTCGATGAGGTTGAAATATTTAAAATCTGTTTAGAATATTGGAATGGATTAGCCGCCGATTTGTACAAAGAAAATCCTTTTGTTACCTCTTCGCCACTTTTCATGTCTAAGAACATGACGGTTCCTCCTCGGAGATTATTTTACGGTCCAGTTTTAACAAAAGTACGATATATCATGATCAGTAGAATGGCAAAACCTGAAGAAGTGCTTGTCGTAGAGAATGAAAATGGGGAGGTTGTCAGGGAATTCATGAAAGATACCGACTCTATAAATCTTTATAAAAATATGAGAGAAACTCTTGTGTATCTTACTCATCTCGATTATTTGGATACAGAAAGAGTAATGACAGAGAAATTACAAAACCAAGTTAATGGTTCAGAGTGGTCCTGGAAGAATCTCAACACGGTAATTGTCTAAAAATATGCATGTAATAATATGTTGGATGACATATATAGCAATAATGTAATGTTACAATTATCATGTTTTGTTTATTTATTAGTTATGCTGGGCAATAGGCAGTATTTCGGGCGCCATGCACGAAGAAGACGAAAAACGCTTTTTAGTAACTGTAATCAAGGATTTACTTGGTTTGTGTGAACAAAAGAAGGGAAAGGATAACAAAGCTATAATTGCTAGCAATATTATGTATGTTGTTGGCCAGTATCCACGGTTTCTCCGAGCTCATTGGAAATTTTTAAAGACTGTTGTAAATAAACTTTTTGAGTTCATGCATGGTAAGAATAAATATTTCTCTTTCCCCCTCCCTTCTCTCTCTCTCTCTCTCTCTCTCTCTCTCTCTCTCTCGCAAAAGATCTTTTTCTTAATTATATATGTTATTCTGACTGTAATTAAATTAATTGTTGTTTACATTATAGAAACGCACGATGGAGTGCAAGATATGGCCTGCGATACTTTTATTAAAATAGCATTGAAATGCAGACGACATTTTGTTACTATACAAATTGGAGAAGCAATGCCGTTCATTGAAGAAATTCTTTCCACAATTAGTACCATCATATGTGATCTTCAAACACAGCAAGTAAGATAAAAACCATAACGTTTGTCTGATATATTCAATTATGTATAATACTGTATAATATATATATACTATATTTTATATAGCTATATGTTACATAATATGCAACATTTATCTTATTCTAATATATATATTGATATATACATACTTTCTAATGTAATATTATAATACTGCAATAGGTACATACATTCTATGAAGCAGTTGGTTATATGATAAGTGCTCAAGCTGATACTGTAATACAAGAACAATTGATTGAAAAATATATGCTTCTTCCTAATCAAGTTTGGGACGACATTATAAGTCAAGCATCCAAAGTATGTCACAATATTTGTTCATATATATATAAATTTCAGAAAATATTTTATAATGCATTTATGTCTATGTATAATTGTATAATATTTGAATCAAAATATTTTTTACCAGAATGTGGATGTCTTAAAGGACCAAGAGGCCGTGAAACAACTCGCCAGCATCTTAAAAACAAATGTTAGAGCTTGCAAAGCTCTTGGACATCCGTACGTGATACAATTAGGGAAAATATACTTAGATATGTTGAATGTTTATAAGGTATGTTTCTTTTTCTATTTATATGTGAAAAATTTTTCAAAAGAATAATTAATACACTGAACAAGCGCAATTTACTTTAGGTTATGAGTGAAAATATAAGTGCTGCGATATCTGTAAATGGTGAGATAGTAATGAAGCAACCTTTAATCAAGAGTATGAGAGTAGTGAAAAAGGAAACATTGAAATTAATCTCAGATTGGGTTAGCAGGACAAATGATCATCAAATGGTAAGTTTTTTTACTCGAGTATAATATCGAGTATTTTTATAAGTATTTTTACCAAAAATACAAAAATTTATTATTTCTTCATTTCATTTCACATTTTGATACAAAATATGTTTATTGAGATTTCTTTGTTTGTCAGGTGTTGGAAAACTTTATACCGCCATTGTTGGACGCCGTTTTGCTAGATTATCAAAAGACGAATGTTCATTGTGCTAGAGAGCCCGAAGTGCTTAGTGCTATGGCCACCATAGTGAATAAACTAGAAGCTCATATCACTAGCGAAGTGCCCAAAATATTTGATGCAGTATTTGAATGTACTTTAGAAATGATAAACAAAGACTTTGAAGAATTTCCCGAACACAGAACAAACTTCTTCCTTCTCTTACAAGTAAGTGTACATTTATCAGTTTGCATTTTTTATATGATTCAACACTATATTCTTAAATTGTATCATTTTATCTTCATTTTTCATTTTAGGCGGTGAATGTTCATTGTTTCCCTGCATTTCTTTCAATTCCACCAGCCCAGTTTAAGCTGGTTCTTGACTCAATTATTTGGGCTTTTAAACATACAATGAGGAATGTAGCAGATACAGGATTACAAATTCTTTATCAACTTCTGTTAAACATTGAACAGCACGAGCAAGCGGGTCAAAGTTTTTACCAAACATATTTTACAGATATTCTACAACATATATTTAGTGTTGTCACGGATACATCGCATACAGCAGGTAAAGAATAAATTTATAATTGCAGAATTGATTGATTTATATAAATTATTATAGATATTTATTTGATTGATATTATTATTACAGGCCTTACAATGCATGCTACAATTCTCGCTTATATGTTTACACTGATTGAACGTGGGAAAATCCAGGTGCCGCTTGGCCCTGTACCTGATAATACTTTATATATACAAGAATTTGTTGCAAGATTGCTTAGAGCAGCCTTTCCACATTTAACTGATAATCAGATTAAAATAACTGTGCAAGGTTTATTCCATCTTAATCAGGATATCACTGCGTTTAAGGAGCATCTCAGAGATTTTCTCGTGCAAATCAAAGTAAGTAACACACAACATTAGCCAGGTATATCTAAAAGCATATATGTATGAAACAATATTTGTTTTCTCTTTTATTTTGAAAAGTATATATTTAGTGATGTAAAAAAAAGCTAGCAGCTATCAAACAAGTATTAAAAAAAAAAAAAATTGCTATAATACATTTCTCTCTCTTCATCTAGGAATACACGGGTCAGGACGATTCCGAGCTTTACTTGGAGGAACGAGAAACAGCTTTACGGCTAGCCCAAGAAGAGAAGAGGCGGCAGCAAATGGCCGTTCCAGGCATTCTTAATCCTCATGAAATGCCAGAAGAGATGCAGGACTGAATTAACCATAGTCCGTATCCTATCATTTTATGCACATTTGATGAAAAACACTCTGTTAAAGGAATTCTTGTATCCTTTGAGCTGTAATTATCCCTGCGACATCACTGTCATCACCATCATCAAAAATAGATAAAATATTAATTACTTACTAAAACCAAGTCTGCAAAAGTATACCCTTGTTAAGGAGGTAAGCCCGAAACGTGGTGACTGTTTGTTTGTCTGTTATAGGATTTTAAAGAAATTCGAGTTTCTGTTGTGGATATAATGGGACAATTGCCTGCTAACGATGCTATTTCATGTAATGAGATAAAAAGAATTGCTTCTCTCAAAGAGAATCGATTATTTAAGGAATCGAGATATCTAGGATATATAAAACTTTTACAGATTAATTCCCATTAATCAGAATTATAAAAACGGTGAATATGGCAAAAGCAACGTTACCATTCTTCAGAATTATCCTCAAAAACGACTCGATATGTTGTATAATAAATTTCTGTATAAGGGATTTCTACACACACGCATACACACACACACACACACACACATGTGAGAGATCTATAATATTATTATATTAAGTTTCGTTTTAGCATTTCTATGCGAGTTAAGAGAATGCCTGTAGTCCACAGAAATGTTTTGTGCACACTTTTGGCCATTTAAATTTACCGTTGGATGGATATGAATAATGTATGTATGTATGTAAGCTTACTTGTGATAGCTTATACTAATGTATTGATACATGAATTTGTTATAATATAAATAATACACAAAATTTTTTCCTGTTCCATATTTTTTATTCAGCAAAATGATAACTCTTGTATAATTAAAGATGTATCATTGTTCAGCTATGATGCCAATAAAATAATTTCTATTTCTGAAAGGTAATAAATAATAGATGGAATATATTTACAAATACTGGGGGAGGAGGGGGCGGGCAAATAGATACGCGCGGGTGAAAAAGTTACATCTACTAGATGAAGGCAAATACATCATATATCTAACAATTTGAACAATTCACAAAACCATGTGTAAAAAATATATATATATATATTATATAAAACAGTGATCTATACTTAACTTGTTAGATGACTAATGCATTTATTTGATCATTATAGATATATATAATAAGATTTCAATGAATTTAATAAATTAGTGTATTTTATTGGGTGTGAACGCGCAGATAGGAAATCTTTGATATAATGTAAAGTGCAGTGTATATAAGACACTCTTGATAATTTAACTGATATAAGATACAATCCTTGTTGCAATGAATCGTACAATGACTGTCGTATGTATGTTAAATCAGCGTAGAACGCGCGCGCGCGCGCGCTTTAGAGCGTAATATTTAATTATACTTGGTATAAACGAACACAATCGGATTTTTAAATATTTTGTGAATAATTTGCATAAAATAGTATCGTCGCAGCAGGCTTTAAAGATGATGTGTAAATGCGTGTTTTTATCTAATGATCAATGAGCAAAGTTGTAAAGTAATATTATTATTATTATTATTATTATTATTATATGAGCCATATAACAATGGATACTTGTAAATTAAAATGATCACAACATATTTAGCACTTAATTAGGTTCCATTCTTTTTTTTTATGTGTTCTAAAATATAATTTAGCAATCATATAAAACAATATGTTAATCTCATCATTGAAGAGACACAAGAGTTATAGCAAAAGAAACAATTTTTTTAATATACATGCTGTGTTTATATATAAATCATATTATCGTGCTATTAGTCATGTGCGACATTCTATTAAGGTTTTCTATCGAGTTGTCTAATGACAAATTCAAATAAATGATTTTAGTTCATTATAGTATTGCCTTGTCTTCTCATTATCTAAAACATTAGCTCTCTCTTTCTCTCTCTCTTATTCATGCAAGTATACTTTTAGTTTCAATAATACTATTAATTATTACATCTTCATAGCTATCATCAAGAAGAATTGTTGGCAAAAGCAATATGAGAATACAATAACTGTTTTAAATATTATATTGATTTGAAAACTACATAGAAAATATATATTTAATAATTATATATTTATATATAAAATTATATACGTATATCTTTATAAAAAGAGATGAGAAAAAAAGTTGAGTGAAAAAATAAAAAACTTTTAATAAATTTTCAGTACAACCTAAATGAGATAACGAATTATACTTACATATTAAATGAAATAAATAGTAAATATTTTCAAAGTAAAATAAATTTCATCATAATTTTCGAGCTCCTCTCTATTAAAAAGAAATGCTGATTCCTAAATAATTGATATATTTGACATATTTCAAAACTTATAATTTATAAAAAATATGAAAATTATTATATTACATTTATTGTATAAATATAAATATATTTTGTATATTTCTCTATAAAGAAAGATATATGTTTAAAGAAAATTTTACCACTATCTTATTTATATGATATAGGATGATATTAGGGGTGACGTGTAAACGTAGTCAAAATCAGTCAGAACAAAGAAACTTGGATCTGATTGATCAATCAAATGATTTGAAATGTTCGTAGCGTCAAACGGAACGTATTCACGGAACATACTTTAATTGATGATAAACCACATATATGTATTAAGGTGCGAACCCATGCAGCAGAATAGCGTAAAGTTCGAATCACACTAGTGGCTCGCGGCTGCGATTGCGATTGCCTCAGTCAATCAGAAAGCACCAATTACAAGTATGATTGGAGCGTAGCAAATCACAATCACAAACGCAATCGCAATCGCAGCCGCGAGCCGCTAGTGTGATTCGGGCTTTACGCTTTTCCGCTGCCATGGGTTCGCATCCTTACTCCTATATTATGCTGTGTTCCGATTTCCCATATTATAGTATACGTATTATTATAGTATACGTGACATTATAGTATATTATAGTACGTATTATTATAGTATACGTGATATTATAGTATACGTGACATATACTATAATATCGGGTGCACTCGGGTGGGGAATCGGAACACAACCTTGCTTGTAGCCAAGTTTCCCTGGCGCGTTTCAATATTTACTGCTAATCTATAATGTACGTGACGTAAACTATAGATTTTTAGTACTAACAGTAAATATCGAAACGCAGCCAATATCGGGTGCACCCGGGTAGGAAATCGGAACCACCGACGAGATATCATTAAAGACCGGTGGTCTTATGGGATTTAGTGTAACTGGAAAAAAAAACTCGCTACGCGTTATTTTAGTTCATCCATTATTATCAAAAATGTATAGATCTTTTATATAACTACCTCAAGAACAACAAAATCAACATTTTATCGTAAATTTACTGTTTTATTATCGACAATGCAAAGATTTACTTACCTACAGTACCGCGTGGCGAGTATAAGACCATCGGTCTCTAATAATATCTCGTCGGTGTGTTCGATAATAAAATTATAACTGGATGAAGTAAAATAACCGTATGAATTAAATAATTCGTGTAATTATCTTCGATCCAATCAAACAGCCGGTAATGTCAACATTCTTCAATTACCTCCGGGCCCACCGGGCCCACTTGATGGTCACAAAAGTTTACCCATCCTTTTCTACGTGCACCTCGGCTCCCACTCCTCAACACTCGGTCTAGATATACTATGTTTATGCTGCGTACCATTTCATACATCATGCGCATCATGCATGAAACGGAACGCAGCCCCTGATAGAGCATAAAGATACATTTTCACGAGCCGCTGAAATCGATCGTTTGAGCGACAAAAAGGATCACGTGATCGAAATGGACGAATGAGTGACGACGGTCTGGCTACTGATTTGTCCATTTCGATCACGTGATTCTTTTTGTCGCTCAAACGATCGATTTTAGCGGTTAGTGAAAATATACCTTTAGAAAAAAAAAAATGCAGAGGGTTGATTGTGTATCTTAAAACGATGTGAAAATTACAAAAGTGAGGAAATTCACTAGAGTATCTATGGTTTCATTTGTCGAAATCTAGTAAATCTGTTCACTTTTGTAATTTTCATTTCGTTTCAAAGATACACAATCGACTCCAAGGATACACAATCGACTCCCAGGTACACCCGGGAGGGGAAATGGAACACAGCTCAGCATCCTGGGCTGTGTTCCGATTCCCCACCCGGGTGCATCCGATATTATAGTATACTATGGCCTAGTTTACACCGATATACTTTAATCGTACTAAGGGCCGTGGCACATAGAAAAACTTAAGCAGTAAGACTTAAAACTTAAGAATTTCATCCATACGGAATTTTCAGCGTTGCTTAATAACGTAACGCGTTACGGAAGAGCTTGTGCGGTGGCCCTAAGTCTTACTGCTTATGTTCTTCTATGTGCCACGGCCCTAAATACTACACTGGCCAATCATAACCTTTCCTCTAAAGAATGGAATGGCTATGATTGGCCAGTGTAGTACGTAATACGTATTAAAGGCTGCGTTCCGATATTCGCTGTCAGTATTGAAAATCTATAGCGTACGTGACGTAAACTATAGATTTTCAGTACTGGCAGTGAATATCAGAACGCAGCCAAAGTATATCGATGTAAACCAGGATACCGATCATGTAACTTTTTCCTTAGGGCGGAAATGTAAAAAGTGAAAAATATTAGCATTGAAATCAATGGCAAAATTTTTCACTTTTCACTTTTCCGTCCTAGGGGAAAAGTTACATGATCGATACCTAGGCCGGTATTCATAGTCCGTTCTTATATCCAAGATCGTCTTAAGTGTGGTCTTGGGTCGTCTTAAGATCCCATTCAACCAATGAAATGGCCGCATAGTATCTTAAGATCGTACTTAAGACGATCTTGAATATAAGAACGGACTATGAATACCGGCCCTAGATCTATAATATCGGATGCACCCGAGTGGGGAATCGGAACACAGCCAAGTGTGTCACATCTAAAAGTTACTAGTTCGTATAGTCTGCTACGTCTGCTGTCAAAATTACTTGTTCACGCGTATATGTATATATATGTATTACATAGTATATATATACGTGTGTAATTAGTAAAAGTAAAGTCATCGCATAAATAAAGCAGTAAATGCCATATAAAATGACTCTATTTGAAGTATTTTACTACGTTATATATTAAATATACGGTATATTAACGAGCAAGAAAAAGAGAGAAACCTTCGCGTATAACGGCTCTTTCGTGCGTCTTTTACTTTGCGTATGTACATACAGTGAAATGTATTATAAGCATCATTATAAAAAGAAATTAGATAACATTTCTATTTTCATCTAAGCTACTAATTTTAATTATCTTCTATATGTAATAATTCTATAAATTATCAATTAATCTTGAAATGCAAAATTCTTTAACCTTGTTCTCTTTCTGTGTTCTGTAATGTGTTATTTTATTATCTAATCATTAATTGTGTTCTGTTTGTAAAATATTATATTGCAATTATATTGTATATAAACACACACACATACACACATACATACTTATATTTTTGTAAATCTGTGTTCACAAATAACTTAATAATCAATTTAACAATATGGATTTTCAGCTCCTTTTAATTTCTTTGTTTGTATGATTTTTTGTAGAGCTTTCAAATATGTTTTGAAACAAAGATGCCATCTGAAACAAATGCTATGGGCAGTATTTCTAAGCAAAAAGAAGATAATGAGAAATCTAATGAACAATCTGTTACATTAATGACTTTAAATTCTACAAGTCAAGAATCAAGCATATCTACAAAACAAGTAGATGCTGATTTAGCGAATGTTAATAGCGATAAAGTATCTACATCAGATCATCAGATCAGAATTAAGATTTTAAACTCAACTGGAGATACGCTTTCATCTACTAGCTCTATAACGACAAATGATTCACTCGAGAGTGTATGCCCCGAAAATAAAATAACAGGTAATATCAGTGTTAAACTTGTATACTAATTGTAATTTTCTCTACATTTTGCAAAATATAAAAAATATTGTAAAATATATTTAATTTTTAGATTCAAAATGTGATAATAAAAATATATCTTCAAAAATTACAGAAACTAATACATCAATATTGGTTAAACAAACTGAGGAAAATAATGATGCAAATACTACATGCAACAATATAATAAAAAACTCTAGTCAAAAGTCAATTTTTCTTGCTCATAAAAACCTATCTAGAAAGAAATGCTTGTTAACGGAGAATATTCCTGAAATTTCTAACACTTCAGAATTAACAATGTGCTCTGATGATTTCTTAGATGGAAAAGCTTATAATTGTGAGAAAAGTCACAATATTGTTGACATAAAGGAATGTGACCATGAACCAAATGCAGGGAATTTATGTAATAATAACGATGATGATGATGATGATGATAATGGTGATGATGGTGATGATGATGATGATGATGATGATGATGATGATGTAGCATTAAATGCTAGGCACAAAGTAGTAAAAGAAACAGCACTTTTGCATACTTGCAAACAGTTGTCTTTACAACACAATGATTCTGCTACAAATTATAACAGTCTTACAAATATCTTATTAAGAACATCTAGCGATAATACGAAAGACTCCAACATTGACTGTGACATTAACTTGTCAACAGATGAATTAACATCTCTGCCTTTACATACATCTAAAAAAAAATTATCAAATTTACAAAGTGCTTTATCAATCTCGGCAGATTATAATGACGCGATTGATGCAAAAGTATCTTTAAATCTATTAGAGAATAATAATAAGAGTTCACTTGAAAATATAATTGATGAAAATGAATCTCCAATCTCATCTGAACTTGTTTGTAAAGAAATGACAATGTCGCAAAGGTGCACTTCCTCGTGTTATAATGATTCTGCAAGCACAAGTAAGCCGTTTAAACTGCCAATTTTAGACAAGATGTCCAAAACTGCCAATATTCAGCAATCTGAAGTCGAGGAAAATGCAGTAGCGCTTGTGACATCATCATTTACCGAACAAAACCAGTTGGAAGTAGTTCGTTGTTTAGATTTGGAACCTCGTTCGTCAAATAGTAGCGAAGAAAGTAACTCAGATTTAGAATCCTACAATGCAAGTACAAGTCATGGCGATATTAAAAAAGTGAGTAGAATGTTCAGTTTATTTAATCCTGGAAACACCTTGGGGAGAAGGGAGTGGAAGGGGGCACACAGTTTATTTAATCTCTTTATAATATAAGAACAATTATCTAATGCATTCAGACAAAATTTTCATTTTAGAGACAATGCAGACCTAATGGGGTTATAACAAAAGAAGGAGTAGAATATTATCAGCTATGGCGTAGCACAGGTGGTCCCTCGTTTCCTGAATCTTTGTACGAAACTCTGTATCCAATGCCACCTCCCCTCCCACCAAGAGCAGCACACCGGCCATTACATAGAAGTAATGCTTTACCGAGTGGAGCACCAGAGTTACCTAAACGACCTCAGAGGCAACCATTACTCCCTCAGGATTGTTTTGGATTTGAGATTGTAGATGTTGATGAAGCTTCGAATCTTAAGGTTAAAAGATTATCATATCACTTGGTTATTAT